GGTAGTAGTAGTCATACTTAGTAGTAGCACAAGTGATAAGAGTCGTAATAGGAGTTGGGGACGCAGGAGGCGAGAGGGGTGGAGGCAGGGGCGGGGAAGAAAAAAAGGCACATCGACTTGAGTCTGAACTGCCCGATGTCCGCGCGCATTTCTCGAACACATCAAAAACTACACTTAGCAAAACTCCACCCAGTTGCGGGGACCAGGGGGGGCAATCAAAATTCGGTTAGGCGCGCTGGTCGGTCTGGGTGGACGGGCACCGCCTCGCGACCTACGACGGGGAGCGCTGGTCATGCGAAACACGTGGGGCGCCAAGCGTTGCAACTATCAGCATGTTTCACGGCGGGGCTAAGCGGCTGCTGCAACAGGAAATGATAACGCGAACTGCCGCTTCATCCGTGGATGGGGAGATCCAGCACGGAAAAGAATTCGAAGGCGTGGGGCGTGGGGCCAGGCATTTACTTACGGCACGCATGGAACCGATCGCGGCTACAAAACTTGGCGAGACACGGGGATGAGGTGGAAGTGGAAGGACATAATGAAAGAGGCTGCTAAGGCACGGAGACACGAGACGAGGGAGGAGATCACGCCTGAGGCAAAGCGGCGCCCCAAAGCACAGAAAACACTGGGGTCATCATGCTGGGGCAGGGGCGGGGAAGGGCAGCGGGCAGCGCGAGGCGGAAAAGGACAGCGGCCATGCAGGTGGTTTCGCTGAGCCTGAGGAAGTGGGAAGTCGGCGGGGAGCGGCCCTGGGGACGGGGCCTCGGAGATGGGCAGCACGGGCAGCCGATGCTTCGCCACAAGGGGACACGTACAGAACTACACTTAGCGGCCGGGGCACGGTGCACGTCGGGAGCGCGAGTCGCGCCCCCGACATGTACCCCGCCCCGCTGGCTAGGTGTAGTTATATGAGTGCTCTGTTTTGTGAGGATGTCCCTGGCGAAACCAGCACGCATAGAACTACACCTAGCGCCTGGCTAAGTGTAGTTCTGAACGTGCTGGATGTCTCGAGCGGGGCGAGCACGTATAGACCGGCACCTAGCGAAAGTGGCAGGGTACAGGTCGGGGGCGTCGCCGCGCCTCCCCGCAGAGTCAGGAGGGCAGGGGCCACTGAAATCCCAGCCGCCCTCAGGGCGGCGGAGGCTGGACGTCCCAGGGATGCCCGAAAGGGACCCAACTGCAGCCAAGGGCACGCAACGAGGTCCCTGGGGGCCCCAAGAGCGCTCCACGACCTCCAGCCGCAATCTGAGGTCGTAGCGTCTTGGGGGTCTCCTGGAGCGCTTGGCGGGGTCTTGGATTCTTCCTGGGGCGCTCGGGAGGTCCCAGGAGCGCACCTGCTCGCCACGACATCTGGTCTCGATCTGGAGGTCGTGGCGTCTGGGGCCCCCGCGGGGCGTTTTGGGGGCACTGGGGGCTCCTCCTGTAGCCCATCATGGGTCCCACGAGCGCTGGTGGTCGCTACGACCTCTGACCTTGTTCTGGATCCCTCCATCCTCTTTGCCCCCCCCCGTGATCAGGGCAACTCGCCTGGTGACGATGTTTCGAGGATTTTAACAGATATGCGCGCTCCGCCTCCGCCTCCTAATCGCGAGTTGTTATTTCTGATTCCACGCCGACTCTGGCTAGCGACGTCGAGGCCCTCGCAAATCCGACAAACGCGATGACCCCCCTCGAATGGCGGGCAAAACAAACTTTGGAACGATAACCCAAAATTAATTTTGAAATTTCGGGATCCGCGAGAGAAACTAATCCACTCGCCCAAAGTGTAGCTCTCTATCTGTCCGAATTTCTTGGATCGGCGATGGTCCCCCTCCCCCTGGCGCGCGGCGGCCGCTGGGGACGCTCCCGCACGCGCCGTCGGTGGGGCCCAGCACCGATCCGAGGAATATCCGCGCGGACCTCCGCGAATTTTCGTGCGGGGGGGTGACGGGACCAGAGTTAATTTGGTCGGGCATGTCCTTCTACAGGCGGATTTCGAAGGATAAATGGAAGAAAGGGAAAACATGTTCAAAAATAGCAAGAGGCACTCGAAAAGTCGTCCCTACACCATGGTTTGACCATTTTTGAACAGTCCTCCTGAAGGGGGACATGCCCGACGTAAGGCCAGAGGGGTGAAAAGGGTGAGACCGGCTGGGGGGGGACATCGACCTGGAATCGGGGATTTATCGCCGGCTGGTCGGCGATGTGCCCCCCGGGGAGTAGCCGATGGCAAGAGCCCCGCGCTCCCGGGCCATCGCGCCCCTGTCAGCGATCCATGGCCGATGGAGGGGGCCGATGCATCCCCTCTGCGCCCATCCCCCCACAGTTCTGCCCCGGATGGGGAAGGGCCAGAAGGCCAGAAGGGGGGGGGGGTGAAGGAGCATCGCGACGGACGGTCTTCGGTGGCAGCTCATGGGAGCCTCCCATACCCCATACCATCTCGTCTGCTCTTGCGAGTCGACGCTGCTCGACGCTGAATCAACGCTAACCGACCATAGCCGACGCTAAGTCGGCGCTATCTCATCGACTCCAGACGCTAATCGACGCTAGTCGACGCTAAAGACTGACTTGCGAGGGTATACGAGGGTCCCACGATTTGCTGCCGAAGACAGTCCCTGAGCGCAGAGGCTCTGCGGGCTCCCGGTCGGGCTCGGCCACGACGCCGACCCACCCTATTGGGGGGGCGGACCCCCCCCCCTTCTCAGCAAGGGTCCCAGACTAAGCAAGGAGCGATGAGGAACAACGCTTACGATACATGTTCGGGGCACCTTGAAAAACCCAAGGGTACCGATACCGCTACTCCCCTGGGCCTCTTCGGGAGTGGTTTCTCACCAGAATTTCGAGGCGAATCCAGCGGTGCCGACGAGGGCCTCCCAGGAGGCGGAAAAAAAAAGAAAACGAGGGAAGGGTATCGGTATTGGTATCTTTTCCTCCTCTGAGCACCGTGTTTTCCTCCTCTGAGCACCGTGTCTGCCCCATCGCACCGACATCCGCGTCGAATCCGCCTACCCAAAGGGCGCCGCGTCAGAATCGAATCCGCGCCGAGTTCACACATCTGATCCACGCCTCCCTTCTGCGAGCGCCAGAAGAAGCAAGGAGCGAGGAGGCAGAGCATGACGACGAGCAGAAAGAACGAGAAGGAACGAGGAGGGACGAGGAGGGGCATGACGACGAGGAGGAGAAGAGGAGCGAGGAACGGGGGGGATGGGCAGGGCGGTCCAGACATCCGACGCCGCGATCAGATCTGCTCACAAAACGGATCTCCCCAGAGGTCTGCATGGGACCCCTTTTCCGGGGACCGACGTGTCTCCCAGAGCAGTTTTGAACGGTCTGGGGGCCTGGCGAAGGCCCCCAGAAGCCGAAACCTGCCAGATACGTTCCATCGTGAATTGCTCGCGACTCGAGGATGTCAGGGCTGCTGTCTCGGTCAGGGCACCCGGATTCAGGAAGAGCCAGAAGCCAGAAGTTGTCAGTCGTGCAATTGTTCTTTTTCTCACGACGCGAGGTGGTGGGGGTCTGGGGTGAGTAGTCGGCACCAGGATTGCGGATACCTTGACAATGGACACCCTAACAGTCCTATCATTGAGTTATATGTGTTTAAATGCTTGCAGCATGTTCTAAAAATGCTTAAACCATGTTTCTTTTTTAAAAAGGTTTCAGACATGTTTGAACCATGTTTATTTTAGACATCTGGCATTGTTTGGCAACATGCTTCCTCTCCATTGATCGTCGTCCACAACACCAGGACTCCTCCAGAGGCGCGCTCTGACTGGCATTTCGCGGGGAGACCAGCCGTGGCGGCGAGAGGCCTCCAGAAGGCTCCAAACATCCGCAAGTGGAGGAGCAAAATCTGCAAACGCATACGGCAGGTCCGTGTCGTGTCGACCCCGTAGCTGGTTCCCGACACCGCGGGGACCGTTCAACCTTGAACGATCGGCCGTTCCCGAAACGTCAGGATCGTTCAAGCCACCACCGGCATTCAACGTTGAACGCCGGCGGCGGAGTCGCCGCGGGTCAACACGACACGAACCAACCGTAGACTTTCGGAGGACCGCGCGGATTTCTTGGATCGGCAGGAGAACAGCAGGAAGACGAGCAGGAGCGAAGGAAGAGAAATCAGGTAGCGGGGCGACAGGAGGAGTGGCGCGCGGGACGCGTCAGGGGCGCCAGAGGCACCGCCACGGGGTCCCAGCGCCGATCCAAGGAATCCCCGCGGAGAGCCGGGAAGCTGATGCTTGCGCAGGTTCCTCCTCGAGGTGGGAGCCTCTCCGACCGAAGCCCGATCGCCGCCGAACACCTTGTCATCCATCGTCTCGTCCTGATTGTTCCGTCCTCGTCGTCGTCGTCGTCGTCGTCGTCGTCGCGGTCGTCGTCGTCGTCGTTCCCCTCCACGGTCGGCGGCACCGGCCGTGAGGCCTTCGCGCAGTCCCGTCGCGACGGCTCCACGGCGCGAGGGTGGCCCCGGGGGGAGGGGCCGAGGGCGGCGGGGAGGGCCCCCCCCCCGCTGGGGGCCCCCGCAGAGGGCGCCCGAGATCCGACGCAGGGTAGGAGGTCTACCAACCTGCGAGTATCTCTGCCGTGAGGAGCCGCTAATCTACCATAAGCTGTTGGAGCGTGCGCGCCGCCCTCGCGTGGCCGAGGCACAGCTTGCAAAGTCTGAGCGGATGGTGCCGACGTCTGCCCGAGTCATCTCGCAACGAATGCAAAGGAAGCAAAATCGCCAGCTGTGAAAACATTGCGACCCCTCACGCTGCCCCTGGCCTTCCCGCACTGCACCGGGCCTCCGGCGGCCGTTCGGGACGATGCGGGCACCCCTGGAACGCCCTCGATGAGGCGCGGCTGTCGGAGAGAACTCCTGAGGCTTGAGAGCAGCCGAGAAACGACGAAAACACCCGACAGCACGGAACCTCGAACCTCGACCCTCGAATCCCGAAACACGGCCACATGGCCCGCTGCAAGAAAAGGATGCGACGCCAGGATCCCCGGAGGGGCGTCCGAGAGGAGAGCGCTCCCTGCGGGGCCTCGTGGTAGGCGGTGGCGAGGGCGGCGCTGTTTCTCGCGTGCTCCTGCAGAGCGGGGCCCACGGAGGCCGACTACCTACCAGACCACCCCAACCCAACCCGAAGACCAGAATTTCGCCCGAATTTCGGGTTGGGTGGGGTACCAGCTTCATGGGGTGGTTTGGTGGGCGGTGAGAGGCAGATGGCAGGCTCCAGAAATCCTGAACAACAGAAAAAACCTTGCCATCTTCTGTCGGGGAGGCGTAAGACTCGGGTTCGGGAGACTCGGGTTGGCCTAACGGGGCCAGCATGAAAGAGACGAGGCCCAATGTGAAATTTGGCGCGAACGCCCGCTGCAAACATCCCACAAAAACTGAACCGTCAAAATCCGTGACGCGCTCGTACGTTGCCCCGATCTTGGGGGCGCATCTTTTACTTCCGGTGGCATCCGCTGGCCTTCGTCAGGCGTTACGGCGGGGGCGCAGAGGGGGGGGGGAAAGGGGTGCGCGGGAGACCGGGACAGACGGGGGAGGGGGGGGGCGGGACGGGGGGCGGCGGGGGGGGGAGGGGGCGGGAGAGGAGGGGAGAGGCAAGCTGGGCGCGATCGCGCCACATCGCATGTCCTCCCCCTCCCACCCGGCCCTTCCCATTGGCCCCGAGGTTCCTCCGTTTGCCACCGGGTGTCATAACGGACCAGGAGCCCCCAGACTGACACCGTCGTGCTGGGAGGTGGCGGATGAGCAGGAGGATGAGCATGAGGACGAGCAGGAGAAAAAAAAGGAGGATGAGGGGGAGAAAGGAAAGGAGGAACAGCAGAAGCAGGAGCTGGAGCGGGAGGAGCAGGAGGACCAGGGGAAATGGAGGAGGGCAAAGGAAGGACTCGGATCAAGAAACGTGGTCCGCGCAGGGCGACAGAGCCTTCCGGAACGACGGGGACAGAAGGCCGATCCTGAAATGAGGCCAGCGCTGCCGCGAGAACACGTCAAACAAACGTAGCAACAAAAAACGCCGCTCGGACCGATCAAAGTAGAACAACAAGTTTGAAACCATTTGCCTAGAAGGCAATCTGCGGGAGAAAAGGGGGCCCGCGGCAGAGAGCGGGGAGAGCAGAGAGAAGCACAGCGCATGCCCACTCAGCGCAACACAAGGAGGCCGGGATGCACGATATACGATGCGACCACGTGCGATCCACTGGCTGTCCTTCCCTGCGAGAGCGACAGCAGCAAAACAGAAGCGCGGCCAACGGAGCGATGTTCGCTGGATGGCGGAGGAGGGGGAGCGAGAGGGGAGGAGGGGAGAGTACAGGGGGCCTGCCAACCCAGGTGCGCTCGCATCACATCTGATGTGCTACCCCTCCCTCTCGTCCCTGTCCGCTGCGTGGAGCCCACCTCTATTCGCAGGAGATGGCACCGGGCCCTAAAGGGTACGCGGTGCAAAGCACTGCATAGCATGGCGCAGGAGAGCACTACAGAGCGTAGCATGGCATAGCTTGAGGTGGCATTGCGTAGTCAAGCACTGCGGATCAAAGCGTTGCAGTACGAGGCGTGGCATCGCATTGCAGCAGACAACATAGCATTGCCTGGCATGCCCTGGCACGGGACATGAGCACAGCATGCTATAGCAATGCGTAGCCCAACATCGCATATCACAACATTGCAGAACAAACCATGGAGTTGCAGAATAGCGTTGCATAACATAGCATTGCAAACCATGGCTGCACGAACGGTGCAGCCGGGAAAGCCATGCTGTAGGGCCGGCAACTTGGAGATGAGGCCCGTGCTGCAGCGGGAACCACCTTTTACAAAAAACAATGCGAGCGCTGCAGGAGGAGCACCATCTTCAGACACCAACAGACAAACCATGGAACAACAGCACGGAATACATACCAACGTGTGCAGTCCTGCGTGAAGAAACATATGCGGAGCGGGCCGTACATCTCCGGACAGGGTTCGGGGAGAGGGTTGTAACGTAGAGCGTAGAGCGCAGAACGGGACGGAGAGCCGAGAGGAGAGGGGGGAACATAGCAGAATAATAATTCTACACCCTGCGAAATGCTTTAGAAATCATGGGTTAAGAAATTCATAGTCTCAGAATTTGAATAAAAACCCAGAATGTCTATTCAAATCTTGGGATTTACATTGAAACATTAAGAATAATCGAGACTCTGGCCGAAAGCTTGGGTTTTCTTCAGCATTGCCTAGACTGTACACAAAATCCGCATAAACAGTCGGAAGTCCTTGCGGAGTCCCCGGATCGGTGCTGGACCTCCTCCCTGGCTCGCGCAACGCGCTGGGGGCGGCACCGGAGGCACCGCCAGGGGGGGGGCCTGACGCCGATCCCAGAAATCTGCGCGGCTGTTCATAGTCATAGTGCTTCTTCTTCTTCTTCTTCTTCTTCTTCGAAGCCAAGCAGAGGAACAGGGGGGTAGCCAGTCGTAAAATCCAACAGCGCAGTGCGCAGCTGTGGCCTGGCAGGCCTCAGATCTCACACCCCCAACGCGGCCCGGGGTGGCTCCAGCATGGCCCAAGATAAGCAGCTGCGGCCTCGAAGACCGCCCGCGATGGCCGAGGATGGGGCACGGTGGGCTCCACGATAGTTACCCCCAGCTGGCACAAGGATGGCCATCTGGAAAATTCTAGCGCTGGGGGCGAGAAATCGCTTGCGGCCGGTTTGTGCCCTTTGCCCCCCGAGGTCTGGACCCCTTCCCCGGGACTGGTTTTTCATCCTGGGTTGAGTTCTTGACCGGGGCCCGGTGCCCAGATCGTCCATTACCGAAACATGTCCAGCAACGCTCTGGAAGAACTAGTCGCGAGTGGGAGCGACCAGGATCCGTCATCAAGAGTTTCATGTCGCGGATGATCTGCGTGAGGGCCCCTGGGGGCCGAAAGTGGGCAACCCCCCTCTGTCGTCTTTGTTTCCTCTGTCGCAACTAGGAGTCAAGGCTTACGCTCAGGAGCTTTGGGCCCAGCGAGTCGCGGCGGCGGCCCCGGCGACACGCTGTGCCCTGCAAGCGGACAGCGAGTCGCAGCGCCCCGCGGGGCGGGAGGCTCGGAGAGGCGAGGGGCGCTGACGCTCGGGGATTGGGAAGTCGATAGTCAGCGTGTCGCGCCGAAGCGCGGCGGGCCCGACCCGTCGGAGCGACACGCTGAGCCAAAGTTCCCCACTGCACTCGGATCCCCTGCGGCCCTGTGGGGCGACCCGGGCACGCCCGGGGCGCCCTCGGCGAGGCGCAGCTGCTGGTGACCGTCCTTGGGGGCTGGAAAGCCACCGAGAACCGACGACAACAGATCCCTGGGGCCCCCCGCGGCCCCCCGCGGAGCCGCCGCACCTGAGCATCGCTGAAGCGGTCCCCATCTCCACGTGCGTGGCCTGAGCCCTGCACTGGCCGATTCACCACCCCCTAGATGGGGATGCAGGCCGTGCACGTCGAGTTTCGAGGGGCATATCCCCAGCTGGGGTGGTGGGGTGGTGGGGATCGGGATGGGGATTTTGGACGCCCGGTATGGGTGCGGATGCCGAATACCTGATGTTATCCAAAATCAACAGTGGATGGGTAAGATGCCCAACAACTGACGCTATCCAAAACCAGCAGTGGCCGTTGTTGGACAGGCGGCCTTCTGTCTCACATGGACCACGTCCGCGGCGACACCGACAGCGGACCCCGCGGCCTTCTGTCTCGCATGGACCACGTCCGCGGCGACGCCGACAGCGGACCCTGGTCCAAATGAGCAGGAACTGCTGCCCATCTTGCTACCCACTCTTTCCGTACCCAGGCTGGCCATCGCTCGGACGTCCATTCCCTGTGCCTTTTTCGGTCTCGTGCGTGGTTTTTTTCGCCAAATCATCAGGGATGCTCCTCGATGGTCCTCGCCGCAGAAAAAAAGCACACGTCCGAACGATGCCAAGCAGGTGCACCGTGGTGCCGAGGGATGGCGGGGGGGGGGGGGGGAGCGCCGTCGCGCGACCCGGCGCGCAGCAGCTTGCGCTCTCCAATGCCCGCGCCGTCGAACCCCCGCCTCCTTTCACGTCGCCCGCCCGGGGCGGGAGGCAAAGGCATGGAGCCACGATCCCACGATCCCACGAGGGCTCCCGTGCAGTCAGACACGCAACGTCCTGATGTTTTGCTTTACGCTGCCCCCGGGAGCCCCGACCCTTTACCCGGGGCCGACGCTCCTGGCGCCCGGCGAGGGCCTGGAGGGACCGAACCTGGCCAAAAACCTCCCGGACTGACTTGACGATTTTGGGACGCGAGCGTGCTTGGTGGGCGCCGTCCACTGGAAGCCTCCCCAGACACCTGCCGGTCCGATCCCTGTCGATCCGAGGCCCCACGAGAGCCCCCACCCCTTCCCAACTCGGTGCTCCTTCGGCCCGGATCCAGTCATGGATGGTCCCCGGCCCTGAGAACCGGGCCCCCCAAAGGCCGGAAGACCGATGGAAGCATCACACGGAGACAGCCACATCCTCGGAGGAAAAGCCAAAACCAAAACCGACGGCGAGGAGCAGGCCGAGGAAAAAAAAGTCAGGACCTGGCGGACGGCAATACAACCAGATCCTCGGAGGCCCTGTGCGCCGAAGCCACGGGCCCGCCACTCGGCGCAGCGGCACGGCACGCCCGCAGCTGCGGGCACGCGCACCTCCGCCCACATCCGCCGCAGCGTGGACCCTCGGGCTCCCTTCCACGGACTTGAGCAGGGACCGACCGTCCCGGCATTTCTGCAGGCATACCACGAACTGTTCTTGGAACCCCAAAATGTTCTGAGAACCAGAGCAATGTTCTTAGATAGAAAGCCCGATGTGCTAAAACAAGACAGTCTCGGCCAGAAATGTTCTGAGAACCTCTCGTGGAAATCACCGAAGGTTCTTAGAACATTGTTTGGTAGGCCTAGAGGCACGCCAAGACGCTTCGTCACTGCTTGACGGACAAGCCCGAGGCGCGCCGGCTATGGATCCAAGCCTGCCCCCACAAGGGCTCGATCTTTAACCCTCCATGCGCAGAGATCCGATGCCGTAATTCTGTCGATACGGGGTCCCTGGAAGTCTCGACCCATTCCCCAGGAGCGGTTCTTCATCCTGAATCGTTGCTTGACAGCCCTGGGGCCCGGCGAGGGCCCCTAGAGGCCGAAGTCGCGAAAGCCCTCCGTCTTGACATTTCAACGCGTTGGACCTCTGGGTATCCGGTGCATTTTGGTCTTGTGGCGCCCCTTCGAAGAAAATCCAAGACGCACTTGATACAGTGGGACCCACTCCAAGAAACCAACCACAAGAAACCCAACTCTGAGACCCCAGGAAATCTATGGATTTCTGGTGTGGGAACGTCACGTTTTCCATGGCAAAACCATCGCAACTCAAGAAACCCAGGGCACCCTGGAGGCGAGCAGGGTGTTTCTTGGCATGGGCCCCCACTGTATGGATATACCCCCGACAGCAGGACTTGTTCATTGCGTCGACCCCCAGAGGTCTGGACCCATTCCCAGGGACCGGTCTTTCGTCCTGCGTCGTGTTTTGGCGGTCCCGAGGCCTGGCAGAGGCCCCCCCCGGAGGCCGCCAACAGCTAAAAACCTCGGGCCGTGGTGATTTCTTCTGCGACGCGAGGGGGTCCTCGCCATCCCTCGGACGTCCATTCCCTGTGCCTTTGTTCGGTTCCGTGCGCGGTTTTTCGCCAAATGATCAAGGATGCTCCTCGATGGTCCTCGCCGAAGGAAAAATGCACACTCCTCCTCGCCCTCCTCCTCCTCCTCCTCCTCCTCCCCCCCCTCCTCCTCCTCCTCCTCCTCCTCCTCCTCCTCCTCCTCCTCCTCCTCCTCCTCCTCCTCCTCCTCCTCCTCCTCCTCCTCCTCCTCCTCCTCCTCCTCCTCCTCCTCCTCCTCCTCCTCCTCCTCCTCCTCCTCCTCCTCCTCCTCCTCCTCCTCCCTCCTCCTCCTCCTCCTCCTCCTCCTCCTCCTCCTCCTCCTCCTCCTCCTCCTCCTCCTCCTCCTCCTCCTCCTCCTCCCTCCTCCTCCTCCTCCTCCTCCTCCTCCTCCTCCTCCTCCTCCTCCTCCTCCTCCTCCTCCTCCCCTCCCCTCCTCCTCCCCCTCCTCCTCCCCCGCCCGCACGCTCCGCGCGCGCGCGCGCCTCCGCGCCCCGCGCCCCCGCGGCGCCGTGGTCCCTGGCCAGCGACACGATGCCCGGGGCGCGCGCGGGCGCCGGGCTCCGGGGCGGGGCCTCGGCGGGGGGTGCCCGCGGCCAAAGGGCCCCCGGCACGGGACGCGCCTCGCCGGAGGGTCGCTTCGCCGGAGCTCGCTTTCGAGACCCCCTCGCGCTGTGACAACAAAGATCACGACGGGGGGCATGTCGTTCTTTTCGGCCTCCATGGGGGGCCCTACCGGGCATCGGGACCATCAAAAGACGACTCAGGATGAAAAACCGGTCCTGGGGAAGGGGTCGGGACCTCTGGGGGTCGACGTTGTGAAAAAATCACGACGTTGGGGGCCTGGCTTCGCCGGGGGTCTCGCTGTCTCGCTTCGCCGAGGCTAGCTTAACGCCGAGGCTCGCTTCGCCGGGGCTTGCTTCGCCAGGGCTCGCTTCGCCCCGGCCCCCCCCCCTCGAGGTCTGACGGAAGCATCGCGACGGAAGGCTCTTCTCGCTCTTGAGGACAAACAGAAGACGCATTGACAGAGAAAGAATCGCAACGACGCGGGGGACCAAGAGATCCGACGTATTGAAGAAAGCGAGGCGGAAGTGTTTCTCAATTTTCGCCCTCTGGGGGCCCTCACTTGGCCTCGGGACCGTCAACAGTCGACTCAGGATGCAAAGCCGGTCCCAGGGAAGGGGTCGAGACCTCCGGGGGTCGACGTGATGAAAAAATCCTAAAATGTCGGGGGTCTGGGGAGGTGCGCATGCCGCTCGGGTCGGATCGACGTAAGACTCGGATTCGGGGGACTCGGGCTGCGGTCAGGAAAAAGACAAGACCCAATCTGGAATTTGACACGGATTCTCGCTGAAGACACCCGACGAAGATTGGACCGTCAAATTCGAGGACGGATCATCGAAAAGCGTTGGAAAATCAGAGTTCTGGCGTACTCGAGACTTACGTTTCCCCGATGGGGGGGGCCCTTCAAGATGAATCGGAGATACGATGCGACGCGGTGCGATACCTCAGGAGATATTTGATTATTGTCCCCCCCTGTATCTCTCGGCGGGGAATGAACTCAGGCCTCCTCCACCTCCTCCTGCTCCTGCTTCTCCTCCTCCTCTTCCACCTCCTCCTCCCCCTCCCCCTGCTCCTCCTCCTCCTTCTCCTCCTCCGAATGCTCGGAGTAGTAATAGTAGTAGTAGTAGTAGCAGCAGCAGTAGTAGTAGTAGTAGTAGTAGTAGTAGTAGTAGTAGTAGTAGTAGTAGTAGTAGTAGTAGTAGTAGTAGTAGTAGTAGTAGTAGTAGTAGTAGTAGTAGTAGTAGTAGTAGTAGTAGTAGTAGTAGTAGTAGTAGTAGTAGTAGTAGTAGTAGTAGTAGTAGTAGTAGTAGTAGTAGTAGTAGTAGTAGTAGTAGTAGTAGTAGTAGTAGTAGTAGTCGTCGTCGTCGTCGTCGTCGTCGTCGTCGTCGTCGTCGTCGTCGTAGTAGTAGTCGTAGCGTAGTAGTAGTAGTAGTAGTAGTAGTAGTAGTAGTAGTAGTAGTAGTAGTAGTAGTAGTAGTAGTAGTAGTAGTAGTAGTAGTAGTAGTAGTAGTAGTAGTAGTAGTAGTAGTAGTAGTAGTAGTAGTAGTAGTAGTAGTAGTAGTAGTAGTAGTAGTAGTAGTAGTAGTAGTAGTAGGTAGTAGTAGTAGTAGTAGTAGTAGTAGTAGTAGTAGTAGTAGTAGTAGTAGTAGTAGTAGTAGTAGTAGTAGTAGTCGTAGTAGTAGTAGTAGTAGTAGTAGTAGTAGTAGTAGTAGTAGTAGTAGTAGTAGTAGTAGTAGTAGTAGTAGTAGTAGTAGTAGTAGTAGTAGTAGTAGCAGCAGTCGTAGTCGCAGTAGTAGTAGTAGTAGCAGCAGTAGTAGTCGTAGTAGTGGTAGTAATAATAATACTAGTAGTCGTCGAAATAATCTAGTAGTGGTAGTAGTAGTAGTAGTAGTAGTAGTAGTAGTAGTAGTAGTAGTAGTAGTAGACGTAATAGTGGTTGTCTTCGTTGTAGTAGTCAGAGTAGACGTTGTAGTTGTCGCAATCGTAATCGTGGTCGTGGCCGCGTAATCATAGTCGTGATCGTAACCGCAGCCGTATCGTTGTCGTTGTCAAAATCGCAGTCGTAGTCGTCGTTCTTCTTTTTGTGCGGCGGGTGTTACGGATAAAGACGTATTCGCCACTCTTGGTGGGACTTCAGTCCGTCAATAAGGTCGCCGACAATATAATTAGTGTCCAACTATTGGGGTGGGGTCTGAAGACCCATGGCGACGGACATCATTGGGGTCAATGGTGTCAGTTGTCTCGGCGCTGAGCTCCAGCAGTGCTGCACAAAATCTGGAGGTCGGGATCTCCCAACATATGAGGCGTAACATGACGATTTTACAACGTTTCGGGCACAAGCAGGATGGGATGAGGAGGAGGTGGAGGAGCAGGCAGGGAGGCAGGCAGGCTGGGGGGGAGCAGGCAGGGGAGGGGCAGGAAGTATCATCCACCCGATTCCCCCCTTCGTATCTTCCCCTTGCCCTGCTCCCGCTCATACCACTCCTCTTCCCCACACCATCCCATCACTCATCGTTCTCCTTCTCTCTGGCGACGCCGACTCCTCTTCCTCCTCCTCCTTCTCCTCCTCATCCCCCTCCTGCTCCTCCTCCTCCTGCTCCTTGTGTCTTGGCATTCTCCCTCGAGAGCGGTATCCCGAAGACCATCGGAAGTACAGAACACGGCAGGGAATCCGTCGCAGGAAGACCAGCAGAACAGGAGGAGGAGGCAGATGGAGGCAGATAGGAGGGGGCCAGAGGAGTGGGGGGGGGAGGAGGGGGGAGGGGCGGAAGGAGGAGTGGGGATGGCATAAAACGCGAGTGAGTTTGATCACGAATTTCTGGAGGCTCGCGCGTATGTGTTACATCGGCGCCGGACGCCCCTCCCTGGCGCGCGGGGCTCGCCAGGGGCGCGGCCGCGCGCGCCGCCAACGGGGCCCAGCGCAGATCCAAGAAATCCATGCGGACCTCCACAGTTTACGCTTGGGGGGGGGCGGGGCCATAGGGTAGGGAGGGGACTGTCTCGGGGGGAAAAACAGGGACCTGGGATCGGCGATGCACCGCCGACAGATCGGCCATGGGCCCAGCACATCGGATGCCGTTCGCCTCAACTGCCAGTCCTCGACTCTTTGCTGGATGATCTCAGTTACGATGTCGATCCAAATCACGAACCAAGACAAGGATTAACGCCTGTTCTTTCTTTTCCGCCCTGTGTTTGGGGATCAAGGTTACGATTTACTGATGGAAGGAAGGACACGACTCAATCCCGCTGTGATGTATAGAAGAAAACACGAGACGCGGCAGCCGGTTTTGGGGAAGCCGGCGGCCTCTGAGGACAAGACGCCCCCCCCCGTACCCCTCCTCCCTCCTCCTTCTCCTCCTCCTCCTCCTCCTCCTCCTCCTCCTCCTCCTCCGCCTCCTCTTCCTCCTCCTCCTCCGCCTCCTCCTCCTCCTCCTCCTCCTCCTCCTCCCCTGAGGTCCAACATCGTGGGACAAACTCAACATCGTAACACACCTCGACCCGAGATCTGGACGCTCTCACTCTGCGGCATGCTTCGAGCCGCTTCGATCCGTCAGCCCAAAACGACGCCAGGACCTCAGGGTCCCGGCGGTGTTCGGGCCAGCTAGGGCTTCCGGCGGCCGTTCGGGACCAGCTGGGCAACCCGGGAACGCCCTCGGCGAGGCGCAGCTGCTGGAATGTACCCCGAGGCTGGAGGGCCGCTGAGAAGCAACGCAGACGCAAGGAAACCTCGACCTTCGAAACCTCGACCCGGCCGCTGGCCCCCACAACGGCCAGCGACCGATCCCTTCTTGCGGCCCGGCGGCCAATGTCGGACACGTGCGCCTCATTCTGGTCCCCCCTCCATCCCGCCTCCCACCCCGCATCCCTCCTCGACTACCTCCCCCTTCCCTCCCTCCCCCCCTCTCCTCCCTCCGCCCTCCTCGCCCTCCCCCTTCCCGCCTCTCCCATCCACCCTCCCTGCTTCTCGCATCCTGCTCCTCCTCCTCCTCCTCCTCCTCCTCCTCCTCCTCAGTATCCCTCCTCCTCCTCCTCCTCCTCCTCCTCCTCCTCCTCCTCCTCCTCCTCCTCCCCCTCAGCATCCCTCCTCCCCGCCCACCCCTCTCTCGCTCCCCGCCCTCCCCGCCCCCCCCTCATCCCGCCCCCCGCCCGCCCCGCTCACCGCCCCTCCCCGCAGGGTCGAGGACCAGGCCGCCTCCCCTCGCTGTGAACAAAAGAAGCTGTGCTGCTTCGAGCGCGATGCCCATCGAGGAGCTTTCAGCACATCGAAACGCCCAGACCCATAGCATGTGTTTGGGTGGAGTGTTTACGGTGTCTGTTCTTGGTGGTTGTCGCTGAGGTCTCTCTCTTGTTGGGGCCTGCTCTTGATGTGTGCGCGCGTGTTCTCGATGTCTGGGCAGCACGGGGGGAAACAGCTTGTAATCGTCGGCCTCCGGGAGCCTTCGCAAGATCTCGGCGGAATCAAACATCTTTAAAAAAGGGGGAAAAACACTTGGCACGAGAAACCGGTCCCGGGGAAGGGGTCCGGAGATGTCCGTGTATCCAGGACGCTCGGCGGGGCGGCGGGGGGCAAAGTTCGGACGGCGCCAACTGGTGCAGGAGCACGACCAACAGAACAGCTCCACGAGGGTGCGATCAGGATCACAGTTTGCTGCGGCTGGGCACGGCCACGAAGAGGGCGACGAAAGTACAACGGAGGACACGCCCGCGAGCAGGCCCAGGCACCAATTTCATTCATCAACGCCCAGGGCGCTGCTGCGCACGTTCAGAATCGTCATCCGACGCTGCACTGGCTCCACTCTTGGCCTGGCCCGCCCATCCTTTAGGGGCCAAGAACCTGTGTATATGTAATACGCTTGTCCGCCGTTGGGGACGCCTGCCTCAGGGCGGCTGGAAACTTCATACCCCAACGCCGCACCGTAGGGGCAAAGACTTTGCAGCTGCCCGGGGGGGCAGGCGTCCCCGACTGCGGAAACACGGCCATTCGACACCTTCTGCGCCCGCCCCTCCTGTGCCCCACCGGTGCTGCACGCCCTCGGCGAGGACGGCACCTCCGCCGAGTCTTGAGCACGGGGCTCTCCTGGCCATGGGGATGGGTGTTGGCGTCTAGCTGCCGGCCTCGGAGAACGCGCCTGCTCACCGCTCGCCTCGGGCAGCCGGGTCGACGCGCCCGGTGATCCTCAGAGAGCGTGCTGTTAGCGCCAGTGCGTGCCCGTCCGCCGAAGCCCGCCGCCACAACGCAGGCGGCGTCTTGATATAAACGAGGGCCGCTACAGCCTGCGCGCTACGGGGGAGCGGAGCGGGGGAGCAGTAGGAGGCAACTACTGGGAGGTCTTCGTCGGCAGGGTTCTTGGAGGGGGATCCAGCCCCACTGGGGGGCTGCTACGCCGGAGTAAGGCCGCGGATGCAGCGGCATTGGAGCCGGATTGAGCGAGACGCAGCGGGATTGAGAGCGGGAAGGAGGCCAGGTTTCAGACCAGGGCAAAGTCAGAGTTTGACCTCCCGGGAGTTCCATCCGAAGCAACACACACACACACACTTGGCCAATACTTAGGGCCTTACAAAAATTTGAAATGAAGTTTGAAATGAGTTTTTTTCGACCCCAGCCCTGAGATGACAATAATTTAGAGACCTAAGTTGAACTTGGGGAATAATTTAGTGAATAAATCGACAAGTATACTCGAAAAGTTAGAACAAAACACTTTTCTTCCCACGTCCTGAAGATAACATCGAAGGGGGGCGCCCGCTTGCAGGGCGCTCTATCACCCCTCCGCCGCCCGTGGCGGGCAGGACCGCTCTCGTGCTGGCGTTGGCGGGCCGCCGAGTGGCTCAATCGGTCAATCGGTGATGTCATAACGGGCGTCTGTCGGCGGCGAGCGAAGGCTTCGAGCGGGCTCGTCGGCTGTCGCCTGTGGTCTTCCAGCCCCGGGAGGCGTTCTGGCAGCTGCGACTCGTCAAGAGCAATTCGTTCCCGGGGTGCCCGGATCATCCCGAGCGGCCGCCGAACAGCCGAGTCAGGGCCCGAAGACCACCAAGGGATGCGGTAAGGAACTTTGGCTTAGCGTGTCGCTCCGCCTGTTCTGGCCCAACACTCGGCGGCGCCTGTCCGGCCCAGGCCGACCCTGGCGTGAGGTGGGGCAGACCTGGGCGGGGGTGCACAGGGGAGGAATTCGGGACGGAGGGGGACGAAGGAAAGAGAGGGCAAGGACGGACACTGTGGAGGGCAATTCTGCGCGAAGGCGGAACGAGTAGCAGCGCGCAGCCAGCCCAGTGGCCACCCCGCGGCCTCCCCACCCAGAGTGATCGGGATGGCCGCCCGCGCAGACGACTCTGCGACGATGTCCGTCCTGTGCGGCTATGCTGCGACATCCCAGCTGATCAGCAATGAGCGTCTAGACGATCCCGCGTGCGGATGCGTCCAGCTCACGCTGCCGGCAAAAAGCTTCCCAATCCCACCGGTGACCGCGACGATCTCCCGGAGATCGCGCGGCCAGCCTGGGCGGCACAGGTGGCGCGGCCAACTTGTTCGGACAGAACGCTCCACGGCAAGACAGACATCGAATGACCGACCGCATGCGGAACCAACATTACATTGATCGGGTCGGGCGAAAGGGGGGGATAGCAAAGCAGGGGTTTGAGAATCAGCTCACGTAGCTGATGTTCCCGGCGCCTCCCGGCGCCAGAGGCGGCTATGTATCGAGGAATGGGCCCCTCGGTGAGGCCGAAAACAGCTGCATGCAGCAAATTTCGCAACCCCCCTTTCCCAATCCCCCCCTTTCGTTCGCTCGAATTGATGAGCCGAACAATGCATGTCGCGGGGGCGAGGCAGAATGTACGTCAACCGATCGAGTCGAGCTGATCGAGCCGGCGGCACGCGACAGCACCCTGCGACGGACTTCGGAGCAGGTGCGGGGCCCCCTCCTCGAAGACCGTGAGCAGCCCCTTCGAGATCCGCGGACCCTGGGCGCGCGGCAGTCCGCGACGCCTGCGCCAGGGACACGGTGGCTCCTGAGCGGGGAGCCAACACGAACATGTGGCTGCACCCGTGTGGCCAGCGTGGGGTTGGCTCTCGGGGCCAGGTCGGTGCAGAGGACACCAGCGGCGCCCGTTGACCTGCAGCCATCGTGCTACAGATCGGGAAGCCCGAATCAGAAACGAGGAGGCTTTTCCGATCGTGGCCAGCGTCGGCCACGAGCAGATTCCCCGTCCCAGATCCGAACAGCGGCCAGGCAGCCCGAGCCCCCCTTGCCCCTAGCGGCCCTGGTGAACTTCATCATCTATGGTTGTAATGACAGACGCCTGCCCGACCACCGGCTGGCCTAGAGGGCGAGCGCGTCTTATCCAGGAGGGCATTCAGATGTGGGTGCCGCCCGCCTCAGGTTCGTCTCGGGAGCCATCCACTGGGAGAGGTCGCATGCCGTTCAAGGGCTGCGTGCCAAACGAGCTTGTGCAAGCTCGCTGTGCTCAGACTCACGGAGGAACTCCTGGGATGTCTTCGCGGGAACGGTTCTGGCATGCTAAGCCCGATTGAGAGACTACAGTGGGAGCATTGGATAAGGAACCACTGGAAAAGGAATTCAGGGTCTGGAGGCCACTGAAACTCCAATTGAGTCTTGGCCATGGATACTACCGTCGCCCTCATCAGATAAGGAAGCTTTCCTGACATGAATGGGAAGCGCATGAAAGCGACGAGCTGCGCAAGAACGTGCCAGCATCACCATGATGAAATGTGATGTAAGCAAACTCTCCGAACGCCCACAGAAGATACCTATGGACGCGCACTCCCCGAACGCCCACAAGGAGGTTCCTGGTTATCCTCCTCACTCCTCTGTGCTCCTCCTGCGTCGTCCGTGTGCGGCGCCGTGTCTGAACTCGCGCGGAAAACAAGCTCGACCTGACACAGGAGAAAGCAAGAACGTGCAGGAGGAGGAGCAGGAGGAGGAAGAGGACGAAGAGGAGGAGGAAGAACAGGAGGAGGAGGAGGAGGAGCAGGCAATTGTTTGAGGATTTCTCGAGCGAAACACTCGTGTTTTAACATAACTGTTGAAAACCCATGAAGTGTTCAATAATTTCGCATTCGAGGACCCGTCCGAAGTCAATGTTTGGAGGATGTCTCGAGCGAAACGCTGATTTGCCAACGACAGTGCTAAAAGCACGTGGGTTGTTCAATAGTTTCGCCTCTTGGGCCATCTTGGAGGTAATCCGAGATCGCTGCGAAAAGATGCCTTACAAGAGCTATTTGCGCATCCCATGTTTTCGAGGATGTCTCAGGCGAAACGCCCATGTTTTACGTACAACGTCTTAAACGAAAATCTCCAAGATCTAGATTTTGTGAGGATGCCTCGAGCGAGACGCTCATTTTGGGAACCTGTCTTGACATGAACGGGAAGCGAGTGAAATCAAAGAGCCTGGCAAGAACGTGCACCAACAGCAAGTTCGCATGTCGCGTAGGCACTCTTCCCGAACGTCCACAAAGAGTACCAGGTGGACTTCGCTATCCGCACCAATTCAGACGTCCCGCTGACCTCGAACGTCCGCAAAAAGAACCAGATGGAATTCGCGATTTCCGCGCAAATTCCGACGTGCCGCTCACCCCGAACGTCCACACAGGAAACCACATGGAATTCACCATCCACGCAACTTCAGTCACCGCTCACCGCGAACGCCCACAAAAATACCAGGTAGAGTTCACTACCCGCGCGAACTTACACGTCGCTCTTACCCCGAACGCCTACACAAGATATCAGGTGGAGTTCACTGTCCGCGCGAGTTCAAAATTGCTTGGAGGATGTCTCGAGCGAAACGCTATGTGTTTAACCCAACTGTTGAAAACCCATGGGTTTGTTCCAGTAATTTCGCATTCGAGGACCCGTCCGAAGGCAATTGTTTGAGGATGTCTCGAGCAAACCGCTGATTTGCCAACGACAGTGTTAAAAACAATGAGGTTGTTCAATAGTTTAACTTCTTGGGCAATCTTGGAGGTCATCCGGGATCGCTCCGAAAAGATGCCTTACAAGAGCTCTGTCGGCAACTCATGTGTTCGAGGACGTCTCAGGCGAAACGTCCACTTTTGGAGGTCCGCGAATTAGAGGATGTCTCGAGGAAGTCTCGAGCGAAACGCTCATATTTGACATAACACGTCTTAACCGACTCTCTCCAAGATCTCGATTTTGTGAGGATACCTCGAGCGAGACGCTCATGTTGGGAGCCTGTCTTGACATGAACGGGAAGCGCGTGAAATCAAAGAGCTTGGCAAGAACGTGCACCAACAGCAAGTTCGCATGTCGCGTAGGCACTCTTCCCGAACGTCCACAAAGAGTACCAGGTGGACTTCGCTATCCGCGACAATTCAGACGTACCGCTGACCCCGAACGTCCGCAAAAAGAACCAGCTTGAGTTCACGATCCGAGCAAATTCCGACGTGCCGCTCACCCCGAACGTCCACAAAAAATACAAGATGGAATTCACCATCCGCGCAACTTCAGTCACCGCTCACAGCGAACGTCCACAAAAGATAACAGATAGAGTTCACTGCCCGCGCGAGTTTAGACGTCGCTCTGACCCCGAACGCCCACGAAAGATATCAGGTGGAGTTCACCTCCCGCGCAAGTTAAAACTATGTTGGGAGGATGTCTCGAGCGAAACGCTATGTGTTTAACAAAACGGTTGATCACCCATTGGTTGTTTCAATAATTTCGCATTCGAGGACCCGTCCGAAAGGCAAGTTTTGGAAACTGTCTCGAACTAAACGCTGATTTCCAAACGAAAATGTTAAACACACATGGGTTTTGCAAAATGTTCGCTTCTTGGGCAATCTTGGAGGTCATCCGAGATCGCTCCGAACAGATGCCTTACAAGAGCTCTGTCGTCGGCATCCCATTGGTTCGAGGATGTCTCAAGCGAAACCCATATTTTCGAGGATCCGAAAATTAGGCGAGCGATTTCAATAACCAGCTTGTCTGACGATGTCTCGAGAGATACACCCATGTTTTGCTAAATACGTCTCAAAATGCGACCCCCAACTTCTCGATGTTGTGAGGATGTATCGAGCGAAACGCCCATTGTTGAAAACCTCTCTTGACATGAACGGGAAGCGCGCGCACCAACATCAAGTTCGCATGTCGCGTAGGCGCTCTTCCCGAACGTCCACAAAGAGTACCAGGTGGACTTCGCTATCCGCGCCAATTCAGACGTGCCGCTGACCCCGAACGTCCGCAAAACGAACCAGATTGAGTTCACGATCCGCGCAAATTCCGACGTGCCGCTCACTCCGAACGTCCACACAAGATACCAGATGGAATTCACAATCCGCGCAACTTCAGTCACAGCTCACCGCGAACGTCCACAAAAGACAACAGATCGAGTTCACTACCCGCGCGAGTTTAGACGTCGCTCTGACCCCGAACGCCCACAAACAATATCAGGTGGAGTTCACCTCCCGCGCGAGTTCAAACTATTTTGGGAGGATGTCTCGAGCGAAACGCTGTGTGTTTAACACAACTGTTGAACATCCAGGGTTTTTTTATAATAATTTCGCCTTCGAGGACCCGTCCGGAAGGTTTTTTTGGAGGGTTTGTCGAACGAAACGCTGATTTGCCAACGAACGTGATCAAAACACATGGGTTTTGCAATACTTTCGCTTCTTGGGCCATCTTGGAGGTCATCCGAGATCGCTCCGAAAAGATGCCTTACAAGAGCTCTGTCGGCATCCCATGTGTTCGAGGATGTCTCGGACGAAACGCCCATGTTCGAGGATCCGAAAATCAGGCGAGCGATTTCGACATCCAGATTTGTTGACGATGTCTCGAGCGACGCGGCCATGTTTAGCAACATACGTCTTAAGATGCGACCCCCAATTTCTCGATGTTGTGAGGATGCCTCGAGCGAAACGCCCATTGTTGAGAACCTCTCTTGACATGAACGGGAAGCGCGTGAAATCAAAGAGCTTGGCAAGAACGTGCACCAACATCAAGTGCACATGTCGCGTAGGCGCTCTTCCCGAACGTCCACAAAGAGTACCAGGTGGACTTCGCTATCCGCGACAATTCAGACGTACCGCTGACCCCGAACGTCCGCAAAAAGAACCGGATTGAGTTCGCGACCCGCGCAAATTCCGACATGCCGCTTACTCCGAACGTCCACTCAAAATACCAAATGGAATTCACAATCCGCGCAACTCACCGCGAACGTCCATAAAAGAGAACAGATATAGAGTTCACTACCCGCGCGAGTTTGGACGTCGCTCTTACCCCGAACGCTCGCAAAATATATCAGGTGGAGTTCACTTTCCGCGCGAGTTCAGAACTTTTTGGAAGATGTCTCGAGCGAAATGTTTTTTTTTTTTTTTTTTTTTTTTTTTTTTTTTTTTTAAAAAAAAAAAAAAAAAAAAAAAAAAAAAAAAAAAAAAAAAAAAAAAAAAAAAAAACGGTTGAAAACCTATAGGTTTTGGAATAATTGTGCCTTCGAGGGCCCGTCCGAAGTCAATGTTTGGAGGATGTCTCGAGCGAAACGCTGATGTTCCAACGAACGTGTTTTTTTTTTGGGGGGGCATCTACCGACCAGCCCACATCTCCAGCTGCTGTCGGCCCCAGAGCTGGCGGCAGGCTTTGTGGCGACGGGCCTGCACTCGCAAGCGCGCCTCAAAGTTTTGCTGAGGCGAGCCAGGGAGGCGCAGGCGGAAGGCCGTGTGTGCGCTAAGAAAAGCATCGCATAGCATAGCAGCCAGGAGGCTGGCGTCGGGCCCCAACCCGTGAAACAGAAGAAAGGAGGCTAGCCAGGGCGAACCCTCAGGAATCCTCGGAGCCCAAGAACCCATCCAAGATTGAAATAATCGATGAAGACGTGGACAATGAAGATAGTGTTTCATGTCATCTAAGTCGGAGTCGGGGGCCTCGGCGCTCACGCATCCCAAGAGGCAGCCACGAGGTGAGGAATGGAAACGAGAGCTCGTGCAAACACAGCGTGACAGGATACGAATCACGGACAGGGGGATGTACGTGCTGCAC